ATATCAAAGATTTCAAGAATATTATTTTCGGTAAGGTGTTTTTTTGAGTAGGAAAATCAAATTAATGCACGCTTTTATGGAAAAGATGGAGATAAATAAGGTATTCAGTTTATGCGAAAGAGCTAGGAACAGAAGGCGAAATATAATAACTGCCAAGTCTGCCAATGTGTTCTGTTTTTTAATTTGAACTTGATGTCTCATCTCGTTTTTCTACATCTACTACATACAGCATTCATGATCGCGTACGCTTTGTCCTCGTTTTACAGTTGGGTTCCTCAATGGACCTCCTCGATGCAGATACGTGCTGCTCATCATAGAGCTATAGTCTTATTAATATATATCTCTATGGTGCTGCTCAAACAATTTCATTGTTATTGTGTTTCAACTCGTCTTGTGCAAACATCGCTCTCACCACAGCCTGCATCTACCATGGCATTGAACTTCTTTTCACGGGCCCACTTATAGTAACAACAAAAATATATGACGTCAATCCAAAAAGATATGGATGTTACATTAATTGTGAAAGCCAGGAAGCATTGCTGGTGTAATTGTAACACACATGTTTTCATAATGCTGGAACACTGGTTCGAGTCCAGGGCAGTGTAAATGAAGTTGTAATCAGTAAGGGAGCAGTCGGTAAAGGTAGAAAGCCCGAAAAAGCGAAATCCTGCACATTGTAGCGATCAACATCATTCCTTTTTTCTATTTACGCGTTGTAATTGCTTTTACCAATTATCAGTATAATAATTTGTGCAAAAGATTGATACATGCACTATTCCATGAGTTGTCATATACAAATTCAATCAATAACATTTTACAAAATAATCTCAGCCGCACAGCGACATACAAGATATTAAACTTGACATTATACAATTTGTGACTGCGTGAAAAAATATATTTGGGTTTTGAGTTCTCTGCTGTTGGGAAACTACAACGATCTGTGAGAGGTTTTCGCTACTTTCCAGAAGTGAAAAGAGTTGTTGTTGCGTGTACTATGAGAATGAATGTCAGTAATATATTCATATCAAAGATGTTAGGAATATTTTTGGTAAGGTGCTTTTTATAGTAGGAAAATACAATTAATGCACGCTGATATTGAAAAAAAAAATATATTCAATGTATTCAGTTTATGCGAAAGATCTATAGGAGCAGAAAGCAAAAGATAATGACTGCCAGTACATACATATATTTTTCTGTTTTGTAATTTGAACGTGACGTCTAATCCGGGGTCTAATCTCGTTTTACTGCAACTACCCGATACGGTAAAGACATTCATGATCGCGTACGTTATTTCTACAACAGAAAGAAAATGGCGTCACATTTTCATGAATTGGTTGCGCCGCGGCGCCGAAGAAGAGCTACAGCAGCTGTCTTTGTATTCGCTGCACATGTTCAATGCAAAATAACGCGACCGATGTTTCGGTTCTGCAATCCAAACAACTCGATACGTGATTCGTCAAAACAAAAATTCTTGCCGGATAATATCTAATCAGATACACCGTAGTATTAAGTGATAAATGACGTCATATTTCAAATTGTGGCTTTTCATTACATTAATTCTCATTAAAGTGCCTGTTTTGCTAAATTTAACATGTGATTCTGTAATCATATTCAAACAACAGATCTTTTAAGACTATTAAAATTAGCTTAATGTAGTGCGTGACATCAAAGTTGATATAGATATAGATGTTAAATTCCCTACGACAGGCGTGAAACATCTCTGGTAATACACAGGTTTCATGATCTTAGATCCCTGGTTCGAGTCAACTTTATGATGAATTGTAGACTTCTCCTGCATGGAAAATGCGGGCTTTGAAAGGAGACAGAAAGAAGTGTGAACCGCCTATCCCCCGTGCGTGTTCATGTACAGCGCACGGATTGTTTGATAAATATAACGTAGTATCCCCGGGATGACACGCGACGCCATATTCTGATGACCCACGCATATCGTTTGTGTCACCGCTATTGAATATGTTGGAATGAACACGGTGTTGTATTTACCTTGTTCCTGACCGATAAAAAGAAATATAATGTAAAAGATCCATTGAGAAATATTAATGCAATCGCAATTTTCATCTATCAATGTATTATGCTTATTGTATGTTTTTACCGTACACAGCTTGCATACGACTTGTGATATGACGTCAATCCAAAATATAGAAATGTTAAATTTGACGCACAACGATGGAAGCATTGCTGGTGTAGCGGTAACATACGGGTGTTTTATACTCCTGTGACCCTGGTTCGAGTCCAGGGCAGTGCTTTGGAATGTATAGTAATTCACTTGTAAATGCGGCATCCGTTGTGTAACTTCTTCCCTGTTGCAGCCGCATTCTGGGCGATCGAAATGCATTCCTTTTGTTTCTATTTACCACAGGGTTCCTTTATTAATTAGCAATTTAATCATTTTCATGAAAGATGCACTATTCCATGACTTGTCATATAAATATTCAATTAATAAAACATTAGAAAAAATAACCTCGGCCGCAGAGCGACATACATGTATAAGATATTAAACATGACCAAATATAAATTATACACCAATTCTATTTCATAAAAACACTCAAGCAAGCAAACTGAAATCATAAGTATTTGGTAAAATGAAACCATTTTTCACGAAAATTATTTTCTTTAAGATTCGATTTTGCTTTATATCTTTCCATATCATAATAAGTTTTAACAGCTGACAAAACTTGTTTTAATCAGTGGTATCTAACTTTTGCATTAGGCTGAATAGATATATTTTCTTACAATAATTAAGATGCAAATAAAAGCGTTGTTATGACCTACAATCAAGCCAAACAATTCATTGTGGTTTGTGAGTTTGACCTTCTTGGTCTTAATACTGAAAAACCATTGCTCGAGTGTTGACCATATTATATTTGAATATGGGCAGTAACCAAAAGTATGCACTCTTCATTGCTGTTACAAAATGTACAATGTTTATAAAAAAAATAAAAAAAATATTTGGTATTTCAGCAATGAATTTTTCATGATAGTATTCTGTTTAAAATCTTGAACTGGAATCACCTCATATTTAAATCACTAGTTGACTTATAGAGAACCAGAAAATACGAGCACCTTGCTTTATCTTCCAGATCTAAACCCTGTTTCCATTTGGTGAGGCTGTGACATTATTTCACATTATGTTCTAAGAACGACTGTTAAATTTTTAGAACATCTTGTCTCATTTTTGACATTAGAAGTAATGCTTCAGGTATAATACATGTAATTTTCATCAACTTTGGTACCAGAAACGGTAGAATGCTTCATCATATCCATCTTGCCCAGGGGATTTATTGTTTTTCATGTTTTAACATAGTATAAACTTCATCAATACTCAATGGACCTTCAAGCAATAAAGTCATTTCTACAGACAATTTGGGAATGTCAGAATAATTCAAAACAATTTCCAAATGTGTTTTTTCTACTTCTTTTGCCGCATAAAGATTCGAATACAAATTAAACACATCTTTAAGTTATGCATTTTGTTCGCTTACGACATCAACATTGTCTGTAGATAATTTACGTATTTGTAGTTTTATTTGTAATTTTTGTTTTGTTACATGTATCAAGAATTGAATCTTTTACTAAATCCCAATCCCCGCAAATAATGATGGTACGCGGATTTTCATATTCTGTTATATAATTTTTGAAGATCAGCAGAATGAATTAGATTGTCTGTATTTGGCCCATAATATCGATGCGACTTCAATATCATATTCGTAACGTATCAAATCTAAGACCACACAGTTTCCTACGTTGTTTATTTTAACCCTATTTATATTTACTAGGACCGTACCTTAAAAGTGCATTAAAAACTACGTCGAACACATGAATATTCAAAGAAATTTTTGCATAATCATAACAGTTCATCTTTTAGATAGCACAATGGAAGGGGTGCCCTTTTTGAATTATTTAGAAGTCATTTGTTGATGTTTTTCTAAAGATATTATCAATCATCCTTATTTGAATTAATTCGAAGCCACGTTTTGAAAATAATTTTCATGCATGTTAAAAGATTTGGAAACGAAAATCCTTCTTTTCACGGCTTTACGTTGGGGGGGGGGGGGGCAATAATGTTGTTGGCCTATTAAAGAGAATTTAGGCGTACTTTTATTTCCGATTAAACCTTGTATTATGTGCGTTTTTTTAATTTTCGGGGGAGGGGGCATGTTAAATTTTTCATTTTATTTTGTACACCTGTAAATACACTGTCTTTCAGTCATGCGGTTCAGACCCTTTCATCCGTTTGCGTTTGTATAATCTTGTCCATGTAGTTCACAATTCCACCCTTGTGCTTCCACACTGCTTCTATGTTGATACCTGTTTTCTCTTCAGTAGTCTCCGTAGACAAAACACTCTTTTTCATTTTATTGTTTTTATTCTTGTGTTATTTTGTGTCATGCTTTTTAGCCATGTTTTTTAGTGGATCCCTGTGTGTGTGTGTGTGTGTGTGTATTGGGTTTTTACAGACGTGTATCAATCAGATATGATTATTTACGTCTGGGACCGACCTTTAAACGTCACCATCCGAAAGACGTGACTCAGTTTCGAACCTGCGTCCTCGGCTGGATCGCTCCATTTTCACTTGACATATAAATATACAACAATATTTTTATTTTTATTCTTGATTTAGATTGTATGATATGATTATCTTTTATATAACTCTCACAAAAATGACAACCAAAAGCCAAATAATATGTGTGCGCAGGCGCTGTCGTATATAAACACCATGAACTGCACACATATGGTTTTCGGTATCGCGGACCTCCGGTCTCGCGGGCTCTCGCTGTCTCGGGCCTTCGGTCAACTGGGCTGTAGCCAAACGCCCCCACCGCTTACGTTGGATGCCTACCTCATAGACATTAATAGTAAAAATTCAAAATTTCAATTGGGCACTCATATTTTGGAAATAATTGTCTCATTGCGTTGTTGTCCGTGTGAAATCAGCGTTCATGCTTTTTTTCGATGTATGTTATCTCATTCGCCCAACTCACCATTTTGTACACATTTAAAGCCTGTGCAGATCCCATACTCCTCCCTGGAGGACCCTACACAGTCTGCCCCTCCTCTCAGGGGTGGAGGGTTGCTGCAGGTCCGTCGCTTACTACCTCTGCAAGTTTCATCACATGTAATGACGCTCCATTCACTCCACTGTCCGTTGACTGTGGAAAGATTTTTCAAAAAATTAATGTTCTTGTTTCCTTTTTCATTTAATTTACATTGATCTTTAATCCTCTTACAGTTAAATACGTTTCATGTGAGTATTAACAAGAGTACACAAAACATCTGGGACGCAAAGACAAAATGAAAACATATAATAATAAACAAACATACATGTAGGTCTATAAGGGAAGATTACCATACTTTTCAGGTGCCTCTTGGGCCTTAATATAGGGAGGGGGAGGGAATGGCCTATTGTACGATCATAAATTCGCGGCCTCCCCTTCCTTAAATAGGCCCCTGAAATCAGTGACGCGCATTTATTATAATAAAACATCCTCTTCAGAAAATATGTAAAGTATTCGTTATGAGACCTCTTCGTTGTTATTGCATTAATTTGTAGTTTGTATTTGTTAAACACAATTTATTTATTTCCTTTACAGAGTTCATGTTCTAAGAAATAATTTCCAGAGAGAAGGTGAGAGAGAGAGAGAGGGGGGAGAGACAGAGGGAGATAAGATAAGATAAGATAAGATAAGATTTTATTCGTCTTTCTTTCAAATGACATACAGAGCATAACATTGGATCATAACACATTTACAAAGCAAAATAACAAATTATGATAATGATAAAAAAAAAAAACATAGCTAACTAAAAGAAAGACGAGGAGACCCTGGTAAAAGCAGAGCTTGTAATTATTAGGGTCCCCTCTGAGCCGGATAAAACATGATGAATAGATATTTGTGACTACCTAAGAATACAATAGGGAAAAGGGGGTATAACAAAACAAGAAGTGTACACACACACAACAACAACAACAAAAAGAGAGACGAGACTAGACAAGACGGGAGAAAAGAGAAAATATGAGAAATAATAGAAGACTACAGCACATCGACAATAGGCACAGCACACAACGGGCACAAGACAACAGGGGGAGGGAATAAGAGGTTGACAATCTGAAAATATTCAGTTAGACACATATTAATATCAAGAAGAAAATTTACATTTATAGTAATACATAATATATCTTGGCACCATAATAACTACAAAAATGAACTACTCTATGAGTCACAGTATTTATCGAGAAGATAAACCTTAAGTTTACACTTAAATGAAGAGAGACTAACAGATTGCTTAACGCTAGAGCCTAGAGAGTTCCAAAATTTAGGTCCAGTAAAAACCAAAGTATTAAAAATTAACTTTGTCCTTACTTGGGGTAAGTGAAACGCAGAGGCATTTCGTGTAGCATGGTCATGAACTTGACTATTTTTCTTAAAAATGCTGACTAGAGCCTGACAGACAGACAGACAGACAGACAGAGAGAGAGAGAGAGAGAGAGAGAGAAAGAGAGAGAATAAAGTTAGGAAACCTGGATGGGGAACACATATCTCGCCCTCTGTATATGAATGGAAAGGATATTGATTTAAACCTACTCCAGTTTTTTCTGGGAGGGAGTTTTTATTGATTTGTTGCCCACTCTTTTATTCTATTGTTCTGTAGTAGCAACCCTAGTTTATAAAGGTGATGGAAAAAAAAAATCAATTATTAACACCGTGGACTAAGAAATAAAGAGATCCAATGTCTTAATGCACGACATTCAGATGTTCATCAAAGATTAAATTATCTTAAATATTGTTATCTTACAAATTAAATATTATTATTATTATTAAATATTGTTAATAAAAAAAAAGGCTAAGGAAGGCGTAAACGACAAAAGTAATAATTGAGGCTGTCCGCATGACTCCTATGATCACAATTTAGAAAGGATACCGATATCAGACTGCTAATAATCATTAAAGTCGTTCATGATAGACTTTATTTTGTACAACCCCACTAATATATAATAAGAGTATATTATGTACATCTACCAGCACATCACATATTAAAAAAGTAACCTGAGCCCATCTGTTTCTTTTACACATACATTAAAGAATTTATCTGCAACAGAAGGAAAGTGTTTCAATTATTTCGGTCTTTTTATAGCCACTTTAATCCATCTTAATCCATCCCTGTTCAATTTAATGAAGTCTTCATTTATTTTTTTTTTCTTCAATGAAATATTTAAGAAAAATAAGAATTTCACTCTTACCTGGGCAATCCAGAACGCTACAGTAGGAGACATCGACCTCGCTATCGGGGCAGTCATCGCCCCCATCCTTAGGGGCGGGGTTCGTACAGGTCCGATACCGAGTCTTCTGGCAGTCAGTGTTACAAAGTGAGAAAGAACCATAGGCACTCCAACCTCCATGAGCTGCAAGAGAGGGGAGTATATATGATATGTTGAATGTACATCTATGAATATTTGTCCTTATTTTTCTTTGTAACTCATTAAATTTTATCCCTCTGCGCCTCAGAATAGTTTACTAGATCGATGGCGCATAACAACATTTGTTAAATTTGTTAAATTTAATGTTGTATTTATTATTATCAAGTACATGACTGATTATAAATATTGACATTAAAAGGAGTGACTTGTTTTTTTCGCTACCAGGGCAGTCATTGCTCACACCCTGGGGAGGAGGAGGGGAGGGGGGGGGGGGCGTCGATACCGCGTCTTCTGGAATTCCGTAATTTACAGAGGGAGAAATTAAAGTTGATATTCATTGAAAAGCACAAATATGGCAAATAATATAGTAATGGAAAGCGAAAAGCATCTAGATTACCACGATATTCACTAGATATCATATCAATATATTGAAATCCCTCTAAACACAATTTAGAAACACTTCTCAGATTCTTAGAACACGGAAGTTGACTTATAGCCTGAGACACTGTTTTTTGTGACGTAGTTATATGGCTCACCACTCGTTTCAACTACCGTTAGTTGAATAAGAGAGGGGTATATTTAGAAATGATTAGAATTAATAGCATTGACGGAGTGATTTTATATTTCATTCTGAGGGCAATCATGTCCCCCCCCCCCCCCCCCATCCGTAGGGGCGGGGTTGAGAAAATATTCAAACTTTAGAGTATACTTACTGGGGCAGATGCCCTCCCCGCAGGCCCGGACCTCTATATTCTCCCCGGTGCAGTTAGCCCCTCCATAGGCTGGAGTTGGATCGGAACAGGTCCTGGTCCTAGTTTGGTTCCCGCCTCCGCACGACACGGAGCAAGCATCCCAGTCTGAGTAGGAGCTCCAGCCCCCGTCAACTAGAAGGAGATAGGGAGTAAGGAGATGATATCAGATAAAATCGTATGTTCAGAGCGAGACAGGCATTCACGCAAATCGTTTCACACACAGAGTTAACGCCCTTCTGGCACTCAATAGATGACACCATTAACAATTTTTGGAGCAAACACCCCAGTGTGAGTAGGAGCTCCAGCCGTCATCGACTAGAAGGAAACATGATGGAGTTTAATAGGAGGCGTTGATACGTCATTACGTCGTCTGGTCGTATTGATGAAATTTTGTGAATCTGGATCATAAATCACGTGACTTTTACAAGTACATGTCAAATATTAATACATTGACCCCTCCTTTCTTCTCTTCCCTTTCTCTCTTTTTCTATCCATATCCCCTCTCTCTCTCTCTCTCTCTCTCTCTCTCTCTCTCTCTCTTTCTCTCTCTGTTTCTTCCTCTCTGATTATTTTTTTTGCTCGACCTAGTCTAATTGTTTAGTTATAATGGTTTTTTCCCACCTCCGTCTTTCTCTTTTTTCTTCTCCCTCCCCTCTCCTTTTCCCCTTTCTCTACATTTCATCCCCTCCCCCTACACACTCCTTTCCCTAGCTCTCCAGCCTCCTCCCTCGTTCAAAGGTACTTTTAATAGGAGTAAAACAATCGCTTTGTCTGAATGACGCTTACCAGGGCATGGGTCGGTATTACAGGCGCCTTGCTCCATCGAGAAACCGGTGCAGTTGGCGCCGCCATTAGAGGGCATGGGGTTATTACACCTCCTGAATCGAACCGTCAAACCCCCTTCACAGCTTTCGGTACAGGTATGCCATTCACCCCAATCACTCCACCCTCCATCAACTAAATATGGACAAACGAGAGAGAAAAAGATATTACAGCATACAGTGTTGGCCAGAGATAACTGCATTTTGAAGAAGAACAAAAACAAGTCTACTGTTAATCATGGCGATGCTTAGATTCAGACATTATTGCCGCTTGTAGAATTTTTATCTACATATTATGCATGCAAGATATATATATTTATCATGTTTATTTCCAATGCAAAACACAAATTACGGGACTAATGATAACAGACTTTGACATCGGAAGTAGCCATTTTACATTTTAATCTTAGTTCATAGGCCTACATGTACATATCACCATTAACTGTAAGTTGTCGGGGTCCGCTCGCTATTTGTATGGACTGCTATCCATAATCAAAGAAGAGGGTCGCTATTCGTAATATGAGAAGAGGCTCGCTACTAATAATACAACATCGGGATAGTTATTAACATCTTCTCGTTGTATGAAGAACGACTCTCATTTCGTATTTTGAATGGCGGTCCTAAAAGTAGTGACCCCAATGTAAATTACGAATAGCGCCACTTTTCGATGTTTATGAATAGCGACCCCAATTTCGTATTATGAATAGCGACCCTCATATCACATTATGAATACCGGTCCTTATGAATATCGGTCCTTATGAATACCGGTCCTTATGAATACCGGTCCTTATGAATACCGGTCCTTATGAATACCGGTCCTTATGGATAACGGTCCTTATGAATATCGGTCCTTATGAATACCGGTCCTTTTGAATACCGGTCCTTATGAATAACGGTCCTTATGAATAACGGTCCTTATGAATACCGGTCCTTATGAATAACGGTCCTTACGTCTTTATGAATAGTGACCCCCTTTTTTCTGTTCACTTTGCTATAAACTCTCTTTACATAATATAGGACCTAACTAGTATAGTTTGACCTGAAACAACAAAGGAATTCAACTTTTTCTTTGCACTTAAAAACAACAACAACTCAAAGGGAAAACAAATTCAATCAAAATACGGCGTGATTGACATAAATTCTTTCAGTAGGAATTTGGAGAGACTCTGTCGAGATGTTCATGAATGTGAATATGGTTTATAGGAGGTGATCTTACCTGCGGTATTATTGCTGTTTGACGGTGAGGGACCGGTCGTAAAGTCGGCTGGCAGGGTGACGCTTAAGACGGTGGAATCCTCGGCTACATGGTCAAGATAAACATGATGATTTGATTAAGAACAATAATTCGAGTGGATACGTCGACGGACTGTCGATCTTAAGGTCCGCGGTTTGAGTCCCACCGCGGCACTAATGTCCTTGGCAAGACATTGATCTACATTTGCCACACTCAACCCAGGTGATTCAAATGGGTATCTGGCAGGAATTAGTTCCTTGAAATGCTAGAGCACTGCAGTGGCTGCCTTGCTAAAGCCAGGGTAATAATCGGGGCAGCGCCATGAGCGTCTCAACGTGACGGACATGTGCGCTATATAAAAAGCCACCATTATTATTATTGTTATCATGTAAAATCAAAAGAATATATGTCATAGTGTCTCGATAGTATAGCATAAAGACTTAGAAAAACAATCAAACATGTATAGGATTAACTTAAAAGTAGAAATTGGGAGGAAGCCAAAGTGGTATTTAGCATAGGTATATCTTGTTTGAAATAAATTTATTTTCATTACTGTTTGGGAAAAGTATATAAACTCTTCTTGTATGGAAATGATCATATTCTCTAGCCGATACATTTGCTCAATAGCTATATATCAATCAACATGTTGCGTAATTCCCGCATTTCCACACAATACGTTTTTTACTTTTTGATATGCGCCTCATAATTTCGACACCCCCTCATCTCAAAACAAAATTTTTCAAAATATTCCCTCATTAGCACAATGACTGAACAACTAATTTAGAGTAGTATAGAGGCGTATCCAACATAGAGTGAAACGGATCGCCTCTCAAATTAAAGACACATGGGCGAAATCATTACAACCCCACCCTGTCCGGGGCTATCAGCTCCCCTCCCCAACTGCGTAACTTCCCAGTGGCGATAAGGGCAAATTGTACCCCTCTTTTAAACTTGAATCACTTTTACACCTTCCTAACTATCCTTAATCCAGTTTTGTAATAGGCCTCAACATAATTATTAAAAACCCATTTCCTTTTCGTTTCACTTCATCAAACATACATATGACCTCAAAATTACTATAAGCTCGTTTTCTACTAAAGGCCTCCGCCCTCTCATTTCTGGATATATCTTTTTAAGGCTTGTTGAGGGGGGCGTTTCACAAAACTTGTCATCAATTTCAAATGACAATTTTTGTTATAAGCTACTGAAATCCTTGCTTCCGATTGGTTATCAGCAGATTTGTCACTGATATTTGTTGTTTGTCATTGAAAAAAATGCTTTTTAAAACGCCCCCCAGATGTGGCGCGGTAAACCGTCGCAAAAAAAAGCGACCGCGGTTTTTAAAGTGTCAATGAATTGCAACTGCGTGCAACAAAAGACTGTCGCGCCTTCACTGAGCTCTGTGTTATAAGATACATAAATGTGAGGCGTATTATTTACGTCATATTTTTATAAAAATAAAAAAGCTCCATGGTTTTGCCGCGTCATATTTGAACTAGATTGAGGAACAACGCGAAACTTAAACACCTCTTCTCAAAATGGCGGCCGATGTTGCAATGACGTCTTACTAATATGCCTTAAATAATTCATCGCCTCCCTTTTCTTGCCCCAATCGATACGATTCTTTGTTACAATCTGAACAATTCTTTGTTTGAGAACCCCGAGCAAAAAGCACCCTTTGTACTATTAAAAGAGGGGAGAGCGAAATGATATCGATTTTGATCCAAAGGCTTGTTATCGTCTAAGTTTAGAAAACGAAAGTGATCGACGCCATCTTTGACTGGGAAGCTTACCTGTTATGAAAGTTGTATGCAGACAAATCACGAAGACCAGAAGCTGAAAAAGAAAGAAATATTGCATCTAATTGAGTCTATTACAACATCATTGTGCAAATAAATCTGCATCATGATGTCGATCTATGAATCGAGAAAAGAAATAGAATTCGGGAATGAAAATCGAAAGAAACGATCATAAGAAGCATGCGCTCCGACAGAAAAACCAATTCACCAAAGATTTGATCAGTCTATGCCTATTATTGTTCCATTTTCTTTGTTTCGTTTTTAATTTTTTTTTCATTGATTGATACATTTTTACATTAAACTTGTTGAGTGTTTGATTTATGATTAATATCAATCATGGTATGAAATTAATTTTGTCCATTTTTAAAAGAAAAAAAAAACTGAATTTTTTAATAACAGGTCTCTCGTGACTTTAGACAAATTCTCTAAAGAAAATGTAGAGTAGACTGGGTATATATTTTACGATGCCCAAACCACATCGCCAAAATAAGACAAATTATCAAAGCTTTTTATAATAGGAGCAGAAAATGTTTTACATAAATGTTTTGAAAGTATTTAAAACAATTCGATTGAATATTTCTAACTCTAGCTCACACAGTACGACACAGAAGTTATTGAAAGTATTCGTACCTTTCACAACTATTATCATTAGAATCCAAATTAACAGGTGAAATCGCATGAAATTTATGATTGTATAATTTAATTATGATTTAGTTTTAGTTTATCATTTTACAAATACTTTTAACAATAACATATAATACAACACTCACCAAGGAAGCTGAATTCTTTGCAGAAGTCTCCATTTTTGTCTTTGTTAAAAAAGCTAAATCTCCAGCCATCGAATAAATTCCTTTAAAAGATCCAATACGATGATAATCTTTCCGATCACGGAATCAAGATCATCACAAATCAAAATGATCCAAGTCAAAATTCATCCCATCTGGGCGAGAATACTTGGCCTACCGTCCTACCCGTGTCACTTTTTATCTTATGACGTTCTTTTGCGATGATGTTGCGCACACTGCATCACACCTTATTGTATTTTCTGGATTAGGTTATGTAGTTCTTAAAATCGATTTATTTTGGGCTGCGTAGGGAGGTATCAATGCATCTAATAGAAGATGTCTTTTTCTAAACAGTCTGTTATATGCAAATTGACGTATGAGCTGTATGGGAGAGAGAGAAGGGAAGGGGGAGAAGAATTCAGAGAGACGGAGAAAGACAAAGAAAGACAGACAAAAATGAACAAATAGACAGACAGACAGACATACAGAGAGTGTGTGTGTGAGAGAGAGAGAGAGAGAGAGAGAGAGAGAGAGAGAGAGAGAGAGAGAAAGAGGGGGGTCAGAGAGAGACAGGGAAACAGAGGAAGAAAAGGGGGAAAGACCGATACAAAATGGCGAGAGAGAAAGAGGAGGGAGGGGGGGGGGGGGTTGTGTCCAAATTTATGGGAGATACTGGAAGCAATATTTTTTTAGCGGATCGCTTTATTTATCAGTTTATGTCTACTGTATCATAATTCAAATATAGCATGCCAGTTTTAATTTATGTCGTAAGCATACAATTGAGCTTTTATTGTAGTTACGTTGTTAATCATGGAGAGAAAATTTATCCTCTTATGCGGCTTATGAAATAATCTATCTATATGCACAAATGAAATGAAAGAATGAAATACTATCATCATTATTATTGTTAGTATTAGTAGTAATATTAGTAGTAGTAGTAGTAGTAATATTAGTGGTAGTAGTGGTAGTAGTAGTAGTAGTAGTAGTAGTAGTAGTAGTAGTAGTAGTAGTAGTAGTAGTAGTAGCAGTAGTAGTATTAATATTACTATTATTATTATTGTTATTATTATTATCTTCTACTCTAAGATAACTATCGTTATAATATATATATATTCTCTCTCCCTCCCTCCCTCCCCCCTCTCTCTCAGTCTCTTTCTCTCTCTCTCTCTCTCTCTCTCTCTCTCTCTCTCTCTCTCTCTCTCTCTCTCTCCTTTTCTTTCCCCCACTCTCTCTCTATCTCTCCCCTCCCCTCTCTCTCACTGATCTCTATCTCATTGTTCCCCCTCTCTCTTTCTTTCTCATTCACTTTTTATCGTTCTCTCACTCTCTCTTTCCCCTCTCTCTTTCTTTCGTCTCAATCTGTCTCACCTATCATTATCCAATATTTTGCTTTGTTGCCATTTACTTCTTGATGACTAGGCCTATACCTAGAATACCAAAGTTACTTTATTGTTTATTTTTTTTAACCTTCCTTGAATAGACAGTGACAACATAAATGACGATAACATTAATATCAGGATTATGTGTTTTAAGTAAAAAATATTAAAAAACAGAAACATATATATATTTAGTCGTGAGACACGAGGGTAAATTTATTTTTCCACTTATTTTGTTCAAGAAATTACATTGAAACATATATATGCTCATACAAATTTTTATTAATTGTTACTGCACAAACAGATGTGATTTTATCAATTTTCGCTTAGAATATGGACGAGCAAAGCTTTATAAGAAATTAGAGAATAACAAAAACTTTAGGGGAGATAAAAAACACCGATTACAACCTACGGTTTTAATAGCCGGGGTGCCGCCCTACCCCCATGTGAGACGTTGGGGGGGGGGGGGGGGGGGGGTTCTCCTCGAATTCCCTGCTGAGTGTTACGTTGCGAGTACTGTCGCATTTTCCCTCTTTTTCTTTAAAAGAAAATCATATGAGAACAAACAAATTCTTTCGATCTCATCATCTCATCCAAAGCTTTGATTCTAGCTTCTAGCTCATAATGGAACATGAAGACAAACAAAATGTATAACAGCTAACTACAAATAAACAATCGCCATAATGTACTTCTTGGTTACTCTCGAAGGCATGAAATGTCCAAAGAATAACAAAATGAAACAAAACGTAAAATAGAGGCACGTATTAACTAGCGACACGTCATAGCTTTTTTTTAATAACATTACAAAATGTAATGCGTCTGTGTGGTTTCACACTTTATTTTTTTATTTATTTTGTTCCTAATTATTACATTTTAATGTTAAACTTCAACGACTCTTTCGTCCATGTATAGTCTAGTCACATCCTTGCTGAATTCATTGACAGTAATGATTATTTAGAAAAATACGACCCACAACAAATGTAAGCAAATAAAGCCAATTATCTTGAGTCACAAATTAAATAACCTTGCATAAATATTTCGCTGAATAATTGTAATACATAACGGCTTGCTGTTAATGTTTTGTTTTTTTCCGTTTTTTCTTTTGATATTATTGATTTTAACAGTAATTATTTGCAGGCACTTTAACGTAACCCTCCTCCTTCCATCGTTCTATGCAAATTCGCCGACATCGTTGATGACGCGGTCCGATGTCGATGGTGTCGTCGAGACTCAGATCGATGTCGGTCTATTCCTCGTCGTTCTCGCCGTGGAGGATGGCGAGCAGCATCTTCTTGAAGTCGCCACCGCAGTCGTCTTCGACGAAGGCGTGGAGGGTCTGTTCGTACTTGAGGAAGAACGCGACCTTGATGCGCTTCATGTCGATCTGGAAGGTGATAACGAGGTAGAAATAGCGACGAAGGGAGAGAAAGATATATAAGGGGCAGAGAGAGAGAGAGAGTGAGAGAGAGAGAAGGGGTGTGTGTGTTTTGTTAGAGAGATAAATAGATCAAGTGTGTGAGCAAGAGGGAGGGAGAGAGAGAGAGAGAGAGAGAGAGAGAGAGAGAGAGAGAGAGAGAGAGAGACCAAAAACAGTTATTTAAGACATTAAATTGATCAAGAAGGATTTTATCCAGTTTACAAAATATGATTAAAATTGGTCTGTCTCTAGATAACTCTAGCTCTAGTTCAGATCTAAGGCCAAATAGCAAAAATAACGTTATTCTCGTCAGGAGAAGAAAAAAGAAAAGAAGGAGGGGGCGGCCAAAAAGGAGGCGGGCGGGGACGAGAAACACTTCATTTTTTTTTAATTTGGTCTAAGGGGATACAAACAAGAGATTGACTAATTGAGAAATTTCCATATACAACAAAACATGAAGCAAATACAAAAATGGATACAAAGTCTTTTTTTTTTGCATTTCAATTACAACATATTATTTTGGCCCAATTAAAAAAAAAAAAAGTTGCAAATGTTGGATTGCATCGAATCAATTATCTATGTTGAATAAACTAATGATGGTACATGATGCTAACATGACAATATCATTCAGTTCAAATGAATCTCTCTATAATATGCTGATAAATCAATTTGAGTTTGAACGTCTCTACCTCTGATCTTGAGATGATGATCCTGATGAGTTTATCTTCGTCGGTACCAGCTCCCTTCATTGAATCGTAGAGACGCTCAGCAAAATACTGTCCAACCTCACGTGCACGACTCACTGTGTAGAAAAACATATTCAATTCAATTTACTTTTATTTTCTTCCATTCAATTGGACAACATATATGACACCTGTTCAAACAATACAATTTATACGTAGGAACATTAAATTTAATTTAAGAACTTGTATTACAAGGAAGAAGGCGCGAATCCCAGTAAGCATAGCTTGTATTGGGTAAGCCCGAATGCACAAATACACAATATACATTATAAATAAAAGATACAGCTGTAGGAGGACAGGGATATGCAAAGAGGAGAAGATGATAGAGAGCTTGGAGGAAGAGAGAGAGGAAGAGGACTGCTACATAGTGTATGGCATGCATAAACAACGTAATGGCAAGATATAGATGAAGGGTATAATGTGGAGATATTTGACTGCATTTTTACAGGATGAAAGGATAATACATGTTATACACATAATCGTCACCCTAATTATGAGCTGTAATTTAAATCGTACATTTTTTAAAAGATAATAGAAAAACACTTGTGTGTCTCTGAGAGGCTCTTTCGCACCGTCCAAGGTCTTTCCGCGAACTTACAAGCGGCTGCGTTTTAATAACACATAACTACAATGGAGAAATTAATGGTGCGCGAATATGACATGTAAAATGTTTCCTAATTATTATTTTTATAAAAAAAAAAAAATATGCGGTCAATCGTTTACAAATGCATCAGTCAAATAAAGTTAATTAATGGCATCGAATGCAGAGGCTAAAGAATTGTTTGACAAAGAGTTGAGATTTCTTCAAAGGGTTATGTGTTATACGCGACCGGCTGTGAGTTGGCGGAGTGACTTTGGACGGTCCACATTGGAAATTAGTCATCAAAATCGAGTCCCAACATTAACGTAAGATTATTAACTAAAAAAAAATGGAAACTAATAAAACGGTTTGAAATGCACGTGGAAGACATAGAGAAGAAGAAAAAAAAGCGGAACAAGAAAATAAAAACTCACCAATGGCAAGATATCCATCCTGAAGGTCCCCCATGCATTCATCCCTGATGGAATCTTCGATGTCACAGCCAGCAACCTGAAAGCATGTCATTCATAAAACTATCAATTCCAGTCTTCATCTTCTCTTAGGCATTTACAATTATCTCAACAACGACAAAATCGAAACGTATAATATGTACAATCGTTCATTAACATAAACAAAAATCTCTTGTCCTTTCTAAAATTATATTCTACAGGTAACAACTAAATTATTCAAACACCCTCCCCGCCCCCCCCCCCCCCCCCGTAACTCAAGAATGAAAGGTGGACTGGTTGATTTAGGGCCTTTGTTGAATACAAATAGAGGTGGGCTACATTCTCAAGAACCATACATCGAAAAAAAAACACTTTTTCACATTCTTACCAAACTTGGTAAGGTTATGAACAAATTAGTTGTCAACTGTATAATAATTATATTATTGTTATGAATAAGAACAAACAATAATATATCGAATATTCCAATCATTCATCTTCTTTCATAGCATCTAGTCACTGTCATTGTCATACAAAAATGGGTGTAATCATGATTCATTATTAAATAATGATGATCATCAAAGACACATTTTTGTTTAATCATTATGAATTATTGTCATCATCGTCTGATCGTCATCATCATCATAATCATCGTCGTCGTTATCATTATGTGCAACCCCAAAGTGAGTCATAATTATATTCCATAGCAACTTACTGCGTTATAGGCAAGGAATGTTGCACGAAGTTGTGGGAAGCTTCTCGTTGCTAGGATACGGTTGAATACATTCTCATCTGTGCCCCACCTATCCTCACCAGCCTATGGTATGATGAAAATAAAATAAGTCCAAACTTGTTATTGTTAATATCATTATCATTATCGTTATCTTTATTATTATTAGTAGTAGTATTACTAGAAGTAGTAGTATTATATGTATTATAAATTTTGTTATTATCATTATCGTTATTATTATTTGGTTTGATTTGAGTTGATTTATTTATTTTTCCTTCATGGTCTCTATCCCAAGTTACAAACTAATTACAACATAAAATCATTATCATTATTATTATCATTATCAATATCATTATCATTATTAATAATAATATTATTGTTTTTATCATTATTATTATCAATCATATTATTACCATCATCATCATCATCATCACCATCATCATCATCATCAGCACCATCATCATT